AATAATTTGGAAATGCCTAGTTTGTAAACACTATGGTTAAATGTTTAAATCCAAATTAGAAATTTACTCTTTTTGAATCTTTAAAAATGTACTGAAGACGTATTGAGTTTTGAAAAATGTACTGAACACATTTTGAATAAACATGTATTAAATAAACGTATTGACCCCTTCAAAGTCAATGAGACTGTGACACTGTATTATCACTTACATATTTTAATCATCAATTTTTCTAACCGACCTACCATTATAAATTTTAAACTATTTTTTCCAAGCTATGCATAACTCTCTTACTAGCTTACCTTATATTACCTTACCTTATTACCTAAACAAAGGTAAAAGAACTTTATAATGGCACATAGCTATTAATGGGGTCCCAAATGACTAAAACTTAATGCCTCTTTTCATGACAATGGAGTGAATTCAGAGAGCATTTAACAAGCAGCAAAATGCTATTTTGCAAACTTCCAATATGTTATGTATAATAAAATATTTCTCAGCAGTTCTACCTTTTTTGTGGTGACTGATTATTTATCTCAGTAGATACAATTATAAACTAGTGGGGGGGGGTCTTGTTCTAATTGTGAGATTAAACAAGGCATTGGCTGGTGGGACTCCTGAGTTCATTTCCAAACTCTACCTTTTTTTTTTATTTGAGAAAATCCTTTAACAGCTATGTCTCAATTTATGCATCTGCATATGGACCTACCTCATAGAAGCAAGAGCACCATAATTTTTATAAAAGGTTCCATGTCTACCTACTTAGTATTTTCTGCATATCACGTTCCATAGGAGGTAGGCCTACTCCTTCAAGGAGCTGAACTTCTTAAGGTGTGGAATGGCAACAACCCCACTGCTTTCAAAACATTGTCTTTCCAAGCCAAACCAGTTTTCCAAGACAAAAAGTTATAATGGAGCATGAAACACAGGGCCTTACAAAGGGAGCTGCCCCTCCATATTAAAAATGGAAATACTTTGTATTTACATATCATCTTTCATCCACGATTCACAAAAGACCCCCACTTGAAAGAGTCTGTCTCTAAGCACAATGTGGCTTTCAAAGAACTGCTAAATGCTATTCTGTTAGAAGTTCCTCTTTACGCAGTTATAATTAAATGGACAGGCTTCCTTGGGGAAGAAATTTTCATATTAGGCTCTCCCTGATGGAAAAATAAATGTGGCCAATGAAAAAACACCTCCATCTACCTATAACAAAAATAAAGCCATCCAAGTCCTTCTGAAGTTGTATGTAGAATTTCTGTTTGTGTGCGTGTGCAAGTTCATAATAAGCTGATGCGTTTCTCTGTGTATATGCATGCATACACATACAGGACACAATTCCATGATGTGCCTCAGGAGAAACAAGAGTGGCACAGGCAATAAGACTTATGCCATGTAGATCCTGGATGACTGTACAGCCCCTGCAGTAAGGAAAAACTTCTTCAAAAGATAAGGGTAATGGGTACAATACTTCTGTATTGAAAAAATGCAGTATTGGTAAACACCAAGGTTCATATTTCAGCTTTTCACAGAAAGGAAGTTTGATATGGATTTGATCTGACAGGATATTAGAATGTGCTTGCAGATCAAGATATCCTTTCCTCAGGTATAAGCCTGATATTTAACGTCTCAGATTATCTCAAGTACTTTGATAGAGGTAAGTACAATCCATGATGACATCTCTGCTACATTGTGAGATAACAGTCCCTCAGGAACTATATAGTACCTTGGAGGACTAGCTCCAGTTGCTTAAATATTAATTTATACTCTATTTGGTTTGCAAGCTTGCACTCAAATAGACTAAAATAAACAGAATTGTCAAAAGCAAGTCATAGGAATGATTCTCCAAAGGTAGCTTTAAAAAAATGTCATTGAAGTTTACTGAATTTCTAAAATCAATGATTATATAATGATTCAAGGCTGATATTGTGTTTGATATTAAATAAGTCTTGGAAAATCTGACTCTGAAACATCCCAAAATAGAAATCCTGGAAACTTTTGCCTTGAAAATGAATTCTTCAAAAGATCTAAGCTAGGATTAAGGTTAGATCGTTGACCAAAGGCAGAAACACACACAGTGACCTGCAGAAACAACACATTTGACCTATGTAATGCCAGTTGCTTATTTTTGGGTGATGCTTCTTGTTAATTGTTTGGTCTTCTCCATTTATGGTATTAGTGATATATCCTTTAACAAACCCCAACAGGACTGCCTAATACAGATTTGATGGATAAGTTTTGGACTGACTAGGTCAAAGAGCAGGGAACCAGAGAGCTCTTAGTACACACCACCTTTCCCTGAACACATAACATTTTGTTCAATTGCTTTGTGAGATGTTAATGTCTGAAAAGACTTCCCCCTGGACAAATTATGTCATGTTGGCTACTATATTAAAAAGGATACAGGCCTTGGAAACATTACAAGGGCCATCATATACATATTCTTTGACCTAGCCAAACCACCCGTGCACAAATTTGTTGCAAATGACTGTCAACACTGATAACAAATCTTCTGGTACTGGATCACCTTGTTTTACTCTCTTTTTTCATTTATTTCTTCCTATGGCATTTGTCTTTCTCTTGTCTGAGAACTGTCTTGAAACTGTGCTAAAAAATGTTGATTTTTATTACTCCAGTGGAAACTCATTTTTAAATATCTTGACACTGCCACTTTTGCCCCCACTGTTGGCTTTTATTCAGTGATTATTAAAATGAAAAACTCAGTTCAGAACCTAAGACCACATCTCTTCAATGACAGAGTCTCAATGTGACAGAAATCCTTCTGGGCTTGCTTTAGCCTCACATATGTTCACCTCTTGGCTACCCAGTAGCTCATCTTCAAAGGGAGGAGCGGGAGCACTCTTAATCATGCCTAGCCCATGGTGTCATGGTTAGAGGTCTTAGCTTGGAAAAAGGTCAGTTTAAACCCCACTGGAAGGGAGGGGCAGAGGAGCCTAGAGTTTGGGTCTTCAGCTCTTTGCGGGGGGTGTTATCACTAGGGACCTATTTAATTCACAGTTTTGCAGAAACCGTGACATCCAGGATTGTGTGTGAAATCAACACAAATAAATAAATAAGTACTGGCTCCCCAGTGGGAACAGTAGTCCTCACTGTTGAGAGGAGAAAGCTCCAGCTGGTGAGGCGGCACAAAGGGTATCAGACAAGACACTGCCTGCCCCCTTGTCCTCCCCCCAACCAGGCATCTCAGCCAATCAGTGCCGAGAGACAGGGCCACACAAAGAACAGCCAGCAATCAAGATGACAGCTGCCCCCTCATCCCTTTCCTGGCTGGGGCCTCTCCACCAATAAGCACCAAGGAGCCGGGCCTCTCCGCCAATCCGCACCTAAGGGTGAGGCCACCACAAAATGACCATGGAATTAGAACTTTACGCCACAATCAACCCACAAAAATTAGTAAGTCCCCCCACAATTTAGGTAGACCCATAGTTATAACTATGGAGCTAAAAGGTAGGAAGGTTTCTTCCTCCCCCACCTCCATCCAACAGTCACTAGTCATGGTCCCCACCCCCCCACACCCCCCTGAAATTAACATTGCAAGGGCTTACAGAGTTACCTTCCCAGTGGAATAAGATCCCAACACTGAATAAGTAACTGAAGTCAGACCCTTTCTGAGCATGAACAAGGGCAGGGTGAGTTGCATAGGACAGCTTAGGATCTAAGACTTAGGATCCAAGGGCACCTATACGTCCCTATGTTTCAAAATGGCAGTGGGGCACTTTAACTAAAGCTCAAATTAGCTTTAGTTAAAGGGCCTCCACCACCATTTTGAAGCATGGGACACTGAACACATGTTACACTGCGGGCACTTTAATTAAAGCAGCTCTCAGAACCACCCTAATTAAAGCTCAATATAATCAGTTTTCAGTAGCCAAACTATCAAGAATCCTATTCTTCTGCTACTCTTCTGTCCATAGCATTTTCTTCCTCAGTCTGAGCAAAGTTGAGTAAGTATAAATGGACAGAAGCCAACAAAGTGGCATTATTGAAAGAATTCTGTAACAGGACAAGCTTCCTAATTTCTGGTGGCCTGACAGTAGTCCAACAGGGTGGATAGAGAGGTTCCACAGGTTAGATCCAGCCTATGGGCCTATGTTTGACATCCATGATTTAAAGGATAAATAGAAATATATTATGCCTGATGCATGAATAAGACCTAGGGAAAGTAGCTTGCTTTCCCCTGCTCAGATGATACAAACTACAGAGGTTCTGGAGCAGCCTTAAATTGTACCTGCCACTGTCATAGTGTTTATGGGGCTAAAATACAAGGGGAATTACATGGCTGAGGGAGACCTTGCTATAGTATCCTTCCCACCCCAATCAGGATAGTATACTACAGAGGTGACACTGAGGTAGCAGAATTCAGGTTTGGGGGGGAGGGGGGGGTCACCTGTTGCTACAGGAACATAAGTCAGTGTAATTGCTTGGCCACAATATGGATAAATTATTTCCACTCTGCGATTTGTTGCTATAGGGACTCAGCCTCTTCATAAAACTTATTCAGAGCCAATCTACTTAACACATCTGACTCATTGAACAGTTCCTCCTCCCATTTTTGCTCCCCTCACCGCCACCACCACTAAAGAATTCATGTTCTGTGCTTAATGTTCCTGACTGAGATTATTTTTACCTTACACATCTGTCATATTTCCTGATACATTCATAGTGACCTGTACAGGTTGTTTCTTAATACAGATATACATAATATGAAGGTTCCATGGAATTCTTATAAAAAAACTGAAGAACTTCATGTTGGAAGTTGTTAATAAATGGATCCTTCAATTACCAGCATTATTAATTTTTATGACCAAGAAAAATCAAGCTCACCCTTTGATTTAAGGAAGTCCTACATTTTTCTTTTTCCATCTCCCATGGTGCACTAAGGAGTATAATAATGCACAGCTATTTCCATCTCAGTAGCTGATTTTATTGCAATTAGTTGTAATAAATTCCACTGCTTTCTACAAAGAACAGCAACAATTATATAAATTTAAGCATATTATTTTATTGTATTTTTGTGGCAGGTTTTGATTTGTAAACCCTTATATTTCCAGTTTCGTCTCCGTTTTATATTGTGACAAAAACCATTGGATACATTTTAAAAAATGTATTACCTGAGATTTTAGTTCTTGGATCTTTTACCTTGCAGTACAGTACTGTTCACAGAAAGAATACAAAAGGAAGATTTCCAAAATAGCACAGTTTCCTTGTGACTATAAAGATATAGAAAATTGCATTCAAACACATTAGCATGATTTCCATTGATCTGAAAATTCTGCAAATCATTTTACCTGAAACATATTAACTAATGCATAGAATAAGTGCAATTTGCATTAGTCCTGCAGTAATAAAATGTCAACATTGTCATGAACACCTTGTAAAAGCAGCTCTCCTGGGTAAGTAACAATCTTTCTTCGTTTTGCAGCCTTAAGAGTTCCCACTAAGGCTTCAAAGAGGTTGGCACATTTTTCATCAGCAAAGAGCACACCAAACTTCACACTCAGTTTTCCATCAGCATCTAAATCAGAGATAAAGTGTTACGATACATACAGATTGTCTTTCATTTGAAACACCTTTAGAATATGGATATGAAAGAGTCAAAAACACTGCAGAAGAACTGTGTCTTAGTTCCAGCTCAGCCAATGACCCACTGTGTGACTTCACCTCCATAATATTTAGCATCACTTGCAAGGCATTTGAAATTTATGGATGAAGAGCACTATATAAGAAATTGCTATTCAAAATAAAAAATAATAATTCATGATAATTTCTGATGAGATTCATTTTTAGTGGCTTCATATCTGGGATGAAATAGGTCTCTTCTACTTATTTTTATTGAATAGTTCTGAAAGCATCTCTTACAGACTGGGCCAACCAACCTATTCAAAGCTCTAGGGATAGATTTATTTCAAGACAATTTCTCATGCTGGTTAAATGTTTGAAATCTCAATTAAAAAGCTAATGTGTCCTCCTTGAGTCACAAATAAACTCTTGCAATTGTTTAAATTAATTTTAAAATAACCATCCAATCTAGGTTAGCTCTAAAAGGCAGATAAAAAATATGGAATAAATTAAATGCGTTAACAGTTTGGGTTATGGAAATGAACAGAATTAAACTGGAATAAAACACAGCACTGAACCAAGTAAGAATTGCACAAATTTCATATGTTACCAGCCTATACCTATTAAAAGGGTAGAGTATTAACAATGATAAACTTGTGGTATATTGCACTGAAAAGAATAGTCTTTTTTCCAAATAAGTTCAGGGGATGCAGGTCCTGTGCATTTTAGCATGATGCTCAGAGGTGCTGAGCAGCTACACCCAGTATAACAGGGGCATCAAAGTTATGGCCTCTGGGCCAAATTTTGTCTGTAAAGCCTTTTTATCTGGCCCACAGGGCTCCCCAGAGACACCAGAAGTTGGGCCCTGTGATCCCACTGGGCATAGCCATCGGTGGTGAGCTTGGCTCACCGCCACCTGACCTCATGCTTCTACTGCTCCACACTGTCATGGGAACTTGCAGCACCCTGCTCCTGCCCCCACCCTTGCCAGACGCTGCACACCTGCCTCCCCCACTCCCACCAGACTCTGTACTGCCCCCACTGATGCTGGACCCTGTACTACCCTTGCCTCTGCTAGACCCTGCACTACCCCACTTCTGCATCCACCCCTGCTGGACCCCACATGGCTGCCACAGGACCACTGCAGCAGCTCTCATGCCTCAGATTTGATCCAGCCTGCAAGGAGCCCTGCCTCTGGATCCAGCCCAGGTTTCCAGGTGAGTCTGATACCCCTGCAATAGCACAGTCTTTCTTAGCACCAGGCTAAACCGTTAGTTCAGTAATGACTCCAAAGGAAGAGTACAGTTTCCTATGCTGCCTGGGTTCAGACTGGAACACTTCAACCCAAAGACCAATTGTTAAATCCCAGCACCACTGATATCAGTGGGATTTTTGCTATCAATCTCAAATGGGACCAGGATTTCATCCAAAGGTGCCATCCTGAGCTGGTTCATGCACAGGCTTACCTTTATGATCTAGGCATCCCACTATGGGTGGTGCCACTGAAAGTTAACCATATATATAGTCTTTGAGAGACCTGAGCTTAAGCTTGCTTGGCTGACAAGTGCTGCCAGGTTCATAAACTGATATAGTATGACTATGCTTCAATGATCGATGAGATTACAATACTTACTTGTGGTCCCCAGCCGCCGAATCTCCTCAACTAAGAGGTTTATTTCATGTTCCACGTTCATTGTTGTCTAAAAATAAATGAAAAGTAAGTTATTCGGCATAAACCCACAGTTTCCGTTAACAGACACACAGTTGCCCACTCTCAACTCACAATACTGAACACTGTATTTAAATCCCCATATCTTGTAGATAGTGCCTATGTGATAACCTCAGGCATTATTTTTAAAAACAGTAGATCTCTAATCTTCCTGATTATAAAGGGAAGTTCAAACATGTGGCCCAATTGCATTGTGTAGTCTCAAAGACCAGAAGCTGAGAATCCCAAAAATGTAAAAAATATTTTATTTTTTTAAAGAAACTTGTGAGATTTTTAAGCCACCGTTAGGATTCTGTGGAACTAATTTATAATTTCTGAACATCTGAATATGGCAATACCAAACATATCTGATGGGCTGTTTCATTAGACCAGGGAAGAACCCACCAAATTCACAAGTGGCATGATACAAAGCAATTCCCCTGGCCAAAACAGGCTAAATCATCAGAAGGTTTTCCTTTGCTTTCTCCCAGTCAGCTGCCCATCAAAGACGACATACCGCATGCTTAAATCTACTACAAGATCGTACAGTTGACAGATAGTCCTTCAAACTTCCCTGGCTGTTTCACCCTGTTGCAGTTTTCTATGTCCTGCCAAGCTGTCTGTTTTTTCTGTTTGCAGTATATTGATTGAATATACATACAAACATGTGCAAAGTATCATGAGCAAGTACAAGGAAGTCAAGATATTTGCATAACTATGCCTTCAACATTGTATAGCCATACCTCCCCTGTGAAAACCCACCCCCATACAGCCACACCTCTTCCTCAGAATCAAAATTAAAAGGGTTGAGCTACAGTAGTTAGAATCTGCTCAAGGAACTCCTTCAAACCTTGAGTGTCCCAGATTAGGCTAAGCCCTGGCCTAGTTCCTGCCTGCTCCAGTTCTTGCCCTAGTTCCTGCCTGCTCCACCCTTGATTTTTGTCTAGCCTGACCCTCCTCCTTCCCCTCAGTATTTTGACTCTGAGCCTAGCCTGGGCTTATGATTTAGACTTTGATCCTGGCTCAGACCCCAGACCTTCAATCCTTCTCTAGCCATTGCTCTGAACTATCTACACCTTGGTGTTTGATCTAAGACCCAATTCTGTAAGATGCTGTGCACCTTTTAAATCATGCTGAGTCCTTAGTGTGCAAGACAATGACAGTGTGCAATGACATGAGTCTCAGCATTTTACAAGGTTGGCCTCAAATCATATGCTCATAAAGTATAAGAAATGGAGCCTAGAGGTTATGTGGGATACATGACAAACACCAGGTCATCTACCATAATACTGTTAAGAGAAAGTCTATGTAATACAGTGCTTAAAAGGCTAGTGATAGCTGGCACCTTGCCTACACCAGCAAAACTGAACCAGCTGTAGCAATGGTCAGGAATGAGGCATCTGCCCTACTGTGGACAGTAATGTCAATAATTAATTATTTTCAGTCGTAGTGATCCGAGAGAACTATTAGAAGGCAATATTTGGCCTGGTATTTGTACTGTAAAACTCTCTTGATCTGGCTTTGAAGTGCAACCTCCCTTTGCATATCATGCATATCAGTTTTACACAACAATTTAGAGCAGGAAGTGAAGAGGCACTTACTAGCTAGAAAGACTGTAATTGCCCAAAGTTTTATTTAGCTAAGATGCCAGGGTTAATAGCCCAATGCTATATGCACAAGTTTTCAGGATCTCTCATACTTTATCTAAAAGTCAGCAGAAGCAACAGCACAGTAATTTTACACCATGCTGATGCATTAATTGACAATCGCAGAAAACTGACCGAATCTGCACCATTTCCTGCAGTACCTGGGGTTTTCTGGGAAATCACCTGTGGTAAATTAAGCAGCTTAATTTGCAAGAACTGAAAAGATCACAACAGGAAGTGCTGTGAAAAAAAGCAAGTAAAAGAAACCTGACTGGACAAGTTCACTATTTTGAGAGCTGTATTATCTCACCAAAATCTGAGCCTTTGAATGACCCAGAAGTCAAAATCAGTTCTTGGAAAAAGGATGGGGAATCACTTGCCTCTCCCCCAAGAACAGCCTGGATGTATATTTTGAAATTACTGATGTTTTGTTAAAAATGGTTAACTCATTTGACCAGGTCTGATCAAGTGTTCAGACAGAAGTCTGAACTGATGGTCAGAAGGGTGCCTTTTGCTCCTTTTGTGTGTGGAGTCATATCAGCACATTTTGATGCTTTTACTATATTGAACACCTTCAGCACACAAACAAAATCCCACTAAGTAAGAGCAGACTATATTATTTTCTTGGTTACAAACCAAAAGAATCCAGCTACTTTCCATTAACAAGTAATTTAAATTAGTAGAACCAGGCTTATTTATGAAACCAGCTAGCTGAAACAAATAGCTCTTCCACCCTAACTATTAGCACATATTACCATCCAAACAAAAGCCACATACAGGGTACACATGGCTCTAGAAATGTCACTACTATTGTTTTTGAATTTTTAAAATTTTTGGGGGTTTTTTTTGATGTTTTATAGGTCTGTGAAAGAGGCAGAAAAGACCAAAGAAGCTGAGAGACAAAGCATTAAAGAAGAATCAGATAGGGCTGCACTCCCACTGGTTTAAACTAAGAGACTACATTTTGGGCAGAGTGCTATCTGAAAGGGTTTGGAAGCTGTGAGCATTAAAGCTTTCTCCAATGTCCAGAGAAACAGCACTTTTTACCAGTTTTGTGGATAATCAGGATTATATCAAAGATATCTTGTTCCATCATAATTTTTTCTTCCAATCAGAAACAACCTGCAACAGCTCAGGGCCAAATGGGTAATAAAAGTTTAGCAGTAGTTACATCTCCAAAACCTGTATTACATATATCAAAGCAAGAAGGGGAAGAAATTGGTTAAGACATCCCAGGTTCAGGTTTCAGACTTCGTGTCTGTATTTTTTTCATATAAATGGGAGCAAGCTTGTTCTACAGTTACTGAAATAATAAACATGGGAATAAATAGTTTTTGTGGGGCCATATTTTGTTATCACCAATTGTAAGTAATTCCTCATCTTGTGCTGAGGGCTGATTAGAAAAAAAGTCAGCTCCACAACTTGTGTGCCTTTATAGGAAGATAAGCCTCTTAACACAAGCATGAGGAACCCACACTTCCTCCTTACAACAAGAGAACATGATTTATCATAAATATGAAAGTGGATACAGTATTAGCAAATGCTGTACAGAAGTCTAATCACATATGCTGCAATGCCACCACCTCTTCAAAATGTGTTTTAAATGAAATGGCAACACAGTTTCATAGTTTTAATCATGACATGCTAGGCTGATGGTATAAATAAATTCTACTTCATTTCTGAAACTTTCTGCAGTAAAGAAATGCTTAGTATTGGACAAGACACAGAAGAAACCAGGACCCCTACTCCAAAGAGCTCACCAACTAAGGAACAATTTTCAAACATTCTCAGGTATAACCCTCACTTCTGTGAGTATCATCAATGATTTATATTTAAATAGCACTATTTAAAATTAATTTAGGATGTCTATCACATGCCACCAATCAGGAAGAAAACCTTGGACCCCAAAATGAGATCACTTGTGTGTGCCGGCTCCTACTATGGTCAAAGGAAATTGTTGAGGATATGATTGGGGAAATAGATCCAATGTTAACATTTTAAGCATACTTTAATATTGACTTTATTTTGGTGAAGTCCTGTGTACCAAATCTCAAAGTAGAAGTCAGGCCTAAACCTATTGTGACAGCCAACATAATTTTCACTAGTCACTACAAAAACAGAATTTCACTTTACCTCCTGAAAATGTATCTAGGTGAAAATACAATACTACATTGTCAACTTATCAGGAAGCATGCTGATTTTGTAGTCCACTGTACTTAGCTTTTACCTGTAAAGTAACTGAAGTTATGACTACATGATGTAGTGCTCGTTTTAGATCAACAGACCACTTCTATTCCCATTGAATCTCATTGATCTGTGGAACCAGAACTGGGTTTTTAATGTTACCTATATCATACAAAGCTATACTGATGCAAAACTGCAGTGCTATAATCCATCCAGTCCCAAACCATTTACCACAGCAACATCTTAATCCCCATACTAGGATCTCCTAGGATAGACTTAAATTCCTCCCAGAATCCTAATGAAGTAAATAGGACACTATACCTGAAAGCCTGCTTTCTTGAAAAGCCTGTTGCAGAACCAGGGCCCAAAAAATCTATTTCAAGAGATGCCTGATCAAGCCAACAAAAAAAAATCAGTTACTAAGATTAGACATTGTGTCAGAGTGATGTAGCTGTGGCTGTAAGGGAATTATGCAAGAGGTGAGGATTTCTTAGGGTGATATCTTTTATAGGACCAACTGCATAGCTGAGGTAACTGCATAATTACACCATGTTACACTTGGGAATGTCTGAAAGATCATTCCTCAGTTTGTGAGCTCTTTGAAACAGGACCCTTTGCTAAATATTTAATCATTCAAACTATGAAGAGAATGTGGTAGAATTGCAGCATATCCCACGTATGGGATGGTTTGGAAAGGGATGATCTGCTTCAGGAAGGGGGGTGGAGTAGATAACATGATGACTAGAAAATGGTTAGAGGGCTGGGGAATATGAATTATGAGGAGAGGCTGAGGAAACTAGTTTGGAAAAGAGAAGACTGAAATAATAGCAGCCTTCAGCTCCCTGAAGGGGGGTTCAGAGAGGATGGAGCTGGACTGTTCTCAGTGGTGGCAGATGACAGAACAAGGAGCAACGGTCTCAGCAGCAAGGGAAGTTTAGGTTAGATATTAGGGAGACAAGATTCTCTGGGTAAATCTGATACCTTTTATTAGACCAACTCAAATAGTTGTACATTCTTCTGTGCAAGCTATTGGGGACAATTACCCTTTGTCAGGCAGAGGAAGATATTATGAAACTTTCACATGAGGAGGGTAATAGAGCACTGGAACAGGTTACCCAGATGGGCTGTGGCATCTCCATCCTTGGAGGTTTCTAAGCCCCAGGCAGATGAAGCCTTGGCTGGGACAAGGTAGTTGGGGCTGGCCCTGCTTTAAGCAGAGGGCTGGACACAGTGACAGAATTGACCACCTGATGTCCCTTTCAGCCCCCATTGTCTAGGATCCCCTGCCCTCTGGCCTTAGGGACAGAAGTTACACATAAACCCATGGGTGACTGCGCGGGTCAGGGCAATTGGCTGTAGCGGTAACTCCCCCTCCTCCAGTCATCACGATCGGCTGTGAGGGGGACTGCAGGGATTGCTTCTCCTGGCGTCCCCACTCTCTGGCCGGCGCTCTCAGGGAGGGGGGTACCAGTGCTTTTGCCTGCTCCCCTGCCCATCGCCTAAGCAGGGAACGCTGCTTGTCAGAGAGTGCACCAGTGCTCTCAGGGGGTACCTGTGCACCCCCTACATGTCACCACTGCATAAACCAGTTGCAGTGATCAGAAACTTGTTTAAACCTGCAACAAAACAGAAACTCAGGGCACATAAACTGGTTTCAAAATAGCCCAAATGGTTTAAGATAAACCTGGTTAAATGTAGTATCAGATTTAACCACTGGTGGGGTGTATGCAGGGGAGCATGGCACATGCACCCCCTGAGTTGGCGCTTGACCGCCCCCCCTCCCCCACTGCCTGCAGGAGCTCACCTCTGCCTGTGGGAGCTCGCTGTGGCCCCCCAGCCTCCAGGAGCCCACAGTGTTCATGGATTTAACAGATTTGGGTCAAACTGGTCTATGCAATGTCTGTCCCAGACCTGGAGGTCCCTGGCTGCCCGGCTTCTCTGGGCAGAGTTCTCCATGCCGAGGAGGTGGTGCATACACTGCACCCTCCCCTCTGGCTGAAGACCTCCGAGTGCAGCCGGAGAGGGCAGCAAATGCGCTTAATATCCCCCAGCACCTTTCACGCGAGCAGGCGGAGGCAGGAGAGGCTCGGGGGGATGCCGGGCTCGCAGCTCTGCCAGTAAAACCCAGCAGCAGAGTAGGTTCCTTGCCAGAGGGGCTTGGAGGAGCTGCAGCCTGAGGCTCCGGGAGGGGAGGGGAAAGCCGGCTGGTGCCTGAGGCGCGGCACAATACAGCCCTGCCTGCGGGCGGTGACTAATTTCGCCCGCGGGGCTGGGCGCAGGCTCTCTCCAGGGACTAGAGGCGGCCGCCTCTGCCCCGGGCTGCATCCCCGCAGCCTCCCGGCGCCTGGGGGCATCGCCCCCGCCCCGGCCCCCGCGACCCCGGCCCAGACTCACCCGCCTCTGTCCTGTCGCGCGGCGAGAGGGAGCTGTGGCTGAGCCGGGAGGAAGCGGGGGCGGGAGGCAGAGCAAGGTGCAGGGCAAGCCACAGCAGCCGGGGCCGCCCACAGGGCTGGGAGGCGCCCGGGGCTCCCTTCCTGCTCCCCGCGGAGGGGGAGACACCGAACCGGCTCTGGCCAGCCCCCGGGCAGGACTGGACAAGGACCCCCGCGGCTGGAGCAAGCCCAGCCCACTGCTGAAGCCGGCTGCTGCATGCCAGGGCCCCGCACGCACCGCTCAGGATCCCGTCCTCTGGGAAGGCGGGCTCGGAAGCTCCCTGCCCGCAGGGGCTGGGGGCTGACTCGGATTGCCCGCCGCGACGGGCTTGTGGGCGGCTCGTGCCCCTCCCCAGTGCAAGATTCGGCTGCCCGCTTGCTGCTCTGGGCAGCGTAGCTCCTATCTGCCTTGCAGGCTGGTTTTAACTCCTTCCAATAAATCAGAAAATCACAGAACATGAGGGTTGGAAGGGACCTCAGGAGGTTACCTGATCCAACCCCCTGCTCAAAGCAGGATCAGCCCCAACTAGATCATCTCAGCCACAGCTTTGTCCAGCCAGGTTTTGAAAACCTCCAAGGATGGAGCTTCCACCACCTCTCTGGGTAACCTGTTCCAGGGTTATACTACCCTCCTAGGGAGAAAAGTCTTCCTAATATCTAACACAAACCTCCCTTGCTGCATCTTGACACCATCGCTCCTTGTTCTGTCATTTGCCACCACTGAGAACAGTCTGGATCCACCGTCTTCACAACCCCACTTCAGGTAGTTGAAGGCTGCTATTAAATCCCCCCTCAGTCTTCTCTAGACTAAATAAGCCCAGTTCCCTCAGCCTCTCCTCAGAAGTCCCGTCCCCCAGCCCCCTCACCGTTTTTGTTGTCCTCTGCTGGACTCTCTCCAATTTGTCCACATCCTTTCTGTAGTGGGGGGCCAAGAACTCCCCCCAGTAAATTCTTGAGCTGAAATAGTCTTCCTCCTCAGCTGATTATCTTCTCCTGTCTTGTCAGGCAGCCACCATCCCCTCCCAAGCTTTCTTTCCTTAAACTGAATAAATCTAGTGGTCTTTGGGTGTGTTTACATGTGCCAATTTAAGGTACATTAGCCATTTTTAAGGCACATTAAAGGTGCAGGTGTACATGGGAGCACCCTTAATGAGCCTTTAAAATGGCAATTTTAGGCTATCCAATCCTAAATTTGATACCTGCAAAAGCTGTTTAACACACGTGTAGATGCACTAAGGCACATTAGCGCTGTGTTTGTCAACCGACTTGGGACTAACTTTAGTCCTAAGTCAGTCTGCATACCATGTTAATGCGCCTTAGCACGCACACCTGTAAGCACATGCCTAAATCACTTTAATGCGCATAAAGTTTAGGCATGTGTAAAAGCACGTGTAGACATGCCCTTTGTCTCCTCTTGGAAGAGAACTTCTCCCTCAGGGAAAGATCCAGGAGCTTCACTTCACATCTTGCCCCCCACCCCCTTTGATTCCTGCTCTAGCCAAAGTTTCAAACCAGCTGCCTGGCAGCAGCAGCAGCATTTCTAGTCAGGCAGGGATTGAGGGAGTCCATTGACTTCATGGCTCACGAACAGCCGCCTGATTCTTTCTAAACCCTTCATTTCACAGATGCTAAGGACCCTCTCTCCTTTTTAATGGTCATGATGTTCCACTGATCCAGTGGACAATTCTGCTGTCTGTTTGGTGCTCTGGGTAACATAGCTCTTATTTCACAGCCTTATGGACTGTTTTTAACTCATTCCAATAAAGTCACATTTATTTTTGCTTCAATCTTACCCTGAATAATACAGCCCTAGGATCCTAGCATATTAGGAAAGCTTCTAGTTTCTTTTCACCTGGAGAAAAATGTGTGACATGTTATATATCATGATGATGCACCTTACCACACATACCACCCTTTCCAAAATCCTAGCTCTGCCTATGTTCTCTATTCTTCAGTTGTCCACTCTGAGTTCATCTTTCTTGATGAGACCTGAACAAGTATTTCGGATGAGCTCTTGCCAATACCTTCTACAATGGCTGTATGCTCAGTTCATCTTATTTGCCTTTTTTCACTATGACATTGCCTTTTTCATATTAGAGGCTCATTATTATCCTATAATCATCCAGCACACTCAAATCTTTCTTCTCCTCAATTACATACAATGGTGAGCTCCCTTTTCGTAAGAGAAAGTCTTACTATTAATTCCTAATTGAGTGATCTTGCAGTTTCTCCTATTGAATTTCATGCCCTTGTTATATTACTTCAGTTCTCTAGGTTGCCTTGTATGATATTCTGACCCTCACAGTCCTACTTTTTGTTCCAAGGTCATTAATGCACTTACTAAATAAAATTAGTGCCAAGGCATGGCAAAGTGGGGGCTCCCTGACTAGCCACAGTGCTAGTCTCCCCAACTGCCTCTGGGCATGCCGCCCACCTTTCTCGCCTGCCATGCCTTGATGACACATAATTAAGATGTTAATTAGGCGTGAGGCTGCCCTTCAAACACCCTGGTCTCCTGGGCCTATGTATGCAGCTCCAACCACCTCTATACTGCATCCCAAGCCTCGCAGATGTTCCTAACAGCTGAGCTCTGCTCCGGCCTGAGGCTGGGCTCAATTCATCCCAGTGTTAGGCCTCTTGCTTTCTGCCCTATTATGGGCCACACTCATACCTCCTCCCTCTCACTGAGGCCTCTCCCACTCCACTGCCTCTTACATGGTCTCTCTCATATGCCCCTCCTTTTCCCGGGGCCACACTCACCCTGCCAGCAAACGCACGGCCTCTTGGGCCTCTCCCACAACCTTTATTCGAGCGAGCGCTGGGCAGTTTGCAGAACGCTGGAGTGACTCTGCCTGTAGTACCTCACCGGGTCACTTACCCAGCTGCTCTGAATTAGGGGCTCCTGACTCACCCTGTTGTTTACCCATGGCACTTCCTCAGCTGCTCCACCCAATCAGCCTGTGGCCCACCTGTGGTCTCAGGTGCCTGAAGGCTTACCTGGACCTAACCTGGCCCCCATGTTAGCAGGGTCTACCTTCGAGCCCCCTGCTCACTGGGACCCACCTCACACCCTTTCCTCACAGGGCCTCATCCCAGGCCCCCTGTTCACAGGGCCTCATTACTCACCCCTCTCAGCATTCACATGTTGTAGCTATATCCCAACCCCTAACTCTGGCCTGTTTCCTTGGGCTCTGAGCCCCTCACTTTCACTGGGCTCCTTCCCCCAAATACACACACAGTCGGGGCCCCTAGCCTCTGGGCTCCTTGCCTCTTCACTAGGCTCTCCAGGCCTCCCAACTGCCACTCAGGTGCAGGCTGTCAAGTGTCGCTCTGCACCTTCGCCTCCACTGAGGCCCATACTCTGCCCCCCTATGCTGGGGCCTGGGATCACACACACACCCCACAGGCTCAGGTGGCCGCAGCCATGCCTGGCCCCACTCTCCACTCTCCGAGGTCTTGCACCCCACACAGGCTCAGGTGGCTGCAGCCATGCCTGGCCCTCAATTACCTCCGATGTTAACTGGCCCACCTGAAGGTGAGGACTGGGGTTTAGGCACCCCTACTCGCCTTCCACCGGGGAGGTAGCTGGCCTGGCATTTCCAGGGGACTGTTCCATCACAAACAGCCCCACCAAGCCACCCATCCCTAGCAGGGTGCAGTTTTAGGTCTTGCCCAGGACCAAGAGCCTCCTAACCATCCCCATCAGCTCTTGCCCTTACCTCCTGGTGTTACCAGAGCAGCAGCCAGATGTTGTTTCCTCCGTACCAGGCAGCAGAGTGCTACCTCCAGCCCTGCCGGCCTGAATCTTAAAATGGCCACTTATCAGAGCTGGGTCGCACCTGCCGGTTGCCTCTTCAGGCTCTTAAAGTGGCAGACACCAGAGGTGCTCTGCCACACACCTTCCTCCCTTAGCATAGTTCCTGGGGGAGGTTCCCCCTGCTGCTTCATCAAAGCAGGCTCCCCCTCAGAGCCCATGAAGGCCCTCGAGTGGCAAGCACCCACAAAGGTGCTCTACCACACACCTCCCCCCTTAGAATGACATTCAGGGGCTTCGCTTGGCTGCCTCCTCTGATGACTTTGTCCCAGTCTACTGCAACCCTGCCATGTGGTGAGCACCTCAACCATGCTCCGCCACACAATGTCATTGATGAATTTAATAAATAAGCCCTATCCCCAAGAAACTCCTTAAACTTGATACTTTCTTTTCAGCAGTAGTCTTTATCCTCTACTCTTTAGCAGTTCCTTACCCACTTACAATCCATTCTTGTCCACCTTAAGTATTAATTTCCCACATGGCACCATATCAGGTCCATTACTGACCTAACATATTTCCTTTCTCTAAAAAATAATTTAACTTACTGAAGACATAAAGTTAAACAGGCATGATCTACCTTTGATATAGCCATGTTAAATTGTACCCTATTTTCCATTTGCCCCAAGTCTTTACAGTGTAACACAGAGGCAATGGGCTGACAGATCACTTTTTTTTTCTCTTTCCTGAGCTACATTCATATAACAAGGTAGTGAGAGTGCCATGGAGCTGTAAGTCAGAGGTATTCTAAGTGAATTAACTTGCCCAATAAAACAGAAGCCAGGAAAACTTGCCTTTGCAAATTCAGACATGTTACTGGAGTCCAAACACTCTTATTTTGATAGTATTTTTTTTAAGTGTTCATATTTTTAATGATAAAATTAACTTACTGTCTACTGTTTTAGTAGCAAGGAAGGTGAAGTAAATTTTGGCTGGACACAGCCAGGAAAATAATATACAATACTATTTCTTGCACAACAGGGAGCTTCATTTGCAAATTTGATAATACATCTTCACAAAATCAAAGGGTCTTTTTTACACAAGAAAAAGAAAAATCATTTAATCTAATTTTAGTAAGGCAGTTCTTACTAAAAAACTAAAACAGTGGTACTCAACCTTTTGGCCCTGCAGACTAAACAAGTAACCCAGGAGCCTGGAACTGCCCAATCCAGCTCACGGGGCCTAGAGCTCTCTATGGGAGAGCACTGCTCTCCTACTACCAAATTACTGGACTCATGGGGAGCCCCACAGGCTAGATGACACTGTGCTGTGGACTAGATCTGGCCCATGGGCCAGGAGTTGAGCACCCCTGAATCGGAAATTAACAATCAGAAATAAAGAAGGATT